ATGAAAATTGAGGCATGCTTCAAAACTCCCAGTGGTCCTCTAGTGCTAAGAATCACGTTCATATATTTAAATCTCTAAACTTGCATTGTGCAAGAAGCAGATGTTTAACGAATTTACAAAGTCACTTACACATTTGTTCTACGCATGGATGAGTTCGAACTACCGCTCATTATAGGTGACGATAACGACATGGATATCGGCTCAAATTCTTCATGTGTGAGATGGTATCAAAAGGAGATCTGGCAGCTCACCAAGCTCCCCTATTACGAAGATCTCGAGAGACAAGCGAACAAGACTCTCGCCAGCATAAAGGTGTGTGTATCCATTATCTATCCATTGTGTATCCATCCATGGTTTTGTCGATTATTTTGTTCCTAGTCCGTATTTTCTTTCTTTGTAAGGCTGGCTTATCACACGCGATACTTCTGAATGATCCCATCACTGGTCTCATGCACTGGGTGCCGGAATTGGAACGGTTGGTTGACTTATACTGTTCTATTGGACTTTTTCAGTAGAAATTTGAGTTGTGTTGGAAATAGATAGCTAAATAAATCAAAATTAGTATTTGCTATCATTTCAGATACATTGATTATCATGGTCGTCGTTTAAGTAAAGACGATCACATTCTGTTCGTTCGCCTATTGAATTGTTCGGTCAAAAAAGGCAACACCTTCAGGGACGTGAAAATTTCAATGCACTGTCTCAATAAGTTGCTTGGGTATGTTAAAGATGTGGTTTCAGGATATGTCTATGTTGTCTTGTTGCTCTCTCCCGTTAGGACATTGTCTTTCTCAGCAACTGCAGTATTGTGATGGGAAGCTCCACAAGCTCCTTACTTAAAAAAAAGCAGAGCGCCTTCCTTCTTACTGGTGTTTGAGATGTTTAGTGTCCCTCATTATGCAGAACTTAATCTCGCTCCTGTAATGTAGATCTTCAGCAAACGCGATTTCCTGTTGCGTGGTGATTTGGAAATCGATTGGAGACCCCTCTTTGATTTGTATGTCGAAGTATCCTACAAGAACTTGGAGGTTTGTTTTAATTTTTTTTGTAATTATTACGCTTGCTTTGTTCGAAGCAATGTAGCTCTGGGGTGAGGGCAGCAGGCCGTAACATTGCGTCAGATTCACGATTCACCTCCATGGGGTTGCGCGTCAGAGGAAAAGAGGGAATCCAAGGTGCATAAGCAACTCTCATTGTCACCGCAATTCGTCCACTCCGTTAGTTTAGTCCAAGTGGTTACCTTCAGACTGCTCTCCTCCACTCCACTGCCCTCTCGCGGACACATTTTACGCCATATTGGGATGCTCAGATTTGCGATGGGAGGCGATTTTCCAATTGCAGGACGACGGTGCGCTTGAGCGATGCGAGCGACGGGAGATTTACCCCGCCGAATACCGATACACACGGCGCCGCTCGGGTAAATCTCCCGTCGCTCGCATCGCTTGAGCGATCCGTCGCTCCTGCAATTGGTGCAAAATCGCTCCAATCGCAAAGTCTGACATCGGCCATTTGGACCGTGGTTAGCTATGCTTGGGAGCCAAGGAATTCTTTGGAAATATGCCCTTGAACTACATCAGTTTCTATCAATTCTCTTTCTACAGTATTCAACAATCTCCTTTCCATATATTTTCGGGAAGATTCTCATTTTTCATCTTTGAAAATACCTTATTGCGTCATACTCCAGTAACCTTGGTAATTCGTTTTAATTGGTCAGAAGGAAAGACCACTCCTACCGTAACAAGCAAACACGTTTATTGCTTACTTCCAGAAGCAACTGCTGTTGACTATTTTCACTATTTTTTAATTGAAATTTTCAATTTCTCAGTGCTTATGCGTTTTCTTTTCACGGTGAAAACTTTTGTCGTGTCTTGATTTGAATCTTTGAGTTTATTTGTTTGTATGGTTTCAGGAAGATGGCATTTTCCTCATGCCAGATGGGTTCAGATCTGAACTACAAGCATACATTTCACATTCTCGGCGCTATTTCTCAGATAATGCAACGCAGCAATTACTTGACGAGGTAGTTATAGCTATCTATGGGCACCTCTATGACATTCCTTGCGTTTTTTTATAATGCATTACGGTTTAGTGCTCTTATTTCAGTTGCGCCCGTTGATGTGCGTCTGGGATGAGTCCATAGTACGGGCTTGGCGATTACTAGAATTGTTTGTGCCAATGAATCTCCCACCCGACAGACAGATTACACATGGTGAGTTTTTGGAAATCTCATATAAATTGTCAAGTGTGGAATAATATAGTCATTTCTCCTAGTGTCGTTACGGGGATTTCCGTTGCGATGTTGCTTATCATTGTTTCAAAACAATTATCAAACAGAAATATTCGCTTCTCCAGGGAGCGGGTTGTGGCTGGATGAGGCATGGCATTGGTTCGTAACAGTGGAGAACAATAATCTCGTCGAAGCATCCATCTTGAAGATGTTTGTGAGGTAGGTGTAGAATGGTTGAAATTCAGATAGTATTTTCATTGTTAGCTTTATAACAAGCCTAAAATTTTAAATATACTTCCAGACTATCTGTTGAGTGTCCAGGATCAGTTGATTGGACTGACAAACTTGACGTCATTTTTACGAAGGTGGTTATTTTTGAAATCTACTGCATACGTGTTTTATTGTGTGCACATCCCTTCTATTAAAAATTACATTCTTTTAGTTGATTCGATCGTTTCGGCTTGGTAGCGTCGTAGGGCTTTGTCAGCAGTTCAATTCAGAAGGTGCATCAGGGTTCATCACATATGCAATGGGAACACAGTGTCACGAAAAGTAATCCAATCTTTGACTCCACTACCAATATTTTGTCTTCAGTACTCCATTAAGCTGCAGAAACTATTTATGATACGAAAGATCTGAATCTTTCAGGCTGATGAAAAATTTGCAGTCAGTTTTTCAATTGGTGGAGTCTTACCTACATCCGTCGAATCACGGCATGCATACACAACATTTGCTAGTGTTTATGAATAAGTCCGTCTTTTTTGAGTAGTACTTCTATACACATTGGCTATGTTCTCATAGTTGATGATTCATAAATCGTTTTTCTTCAGGCTGTCGCTGTGCGTTTTGTCTCGCGTAAAAAGGGAGCGTATGGAGAAAACATCCAGCAAATCGAGAACTTTTGTGAAGGTTGCTTAGAATCGTTGTTGTTATTGCGTATACTTGCATTACTCCTCCGTCTGACGCGCAATTTTTGCTCTTTATACAATTTTATGATTTTAGATTCCAGCCTCCATGCGGCTTACACAAGTCCACCTTGACGAGTTTGTCACGCAAATGCTGCCATGTCTGAAATTGGCAATGTTCTCCAAAGCACGGAATGAGTACGCTAACAATATTACCTTACTTCAATTTTCTGAACTTTCTTAGCCCTCTTCTGTGTTTCAACGTGGAGAGATGCATTATACTCAAACTTCAGATTTGTTGCTCCGATAGTGAAATGTTGCTGCAGTATAAGTCCAAAAATTGTACTACCAGCCGTTCTTGACGTGTGCGTTCTGCATTTTTTTTCTTTATTTTGATTATGAAACGGTTTCGATCCCCGTGTTTTTAGACGTTATCTGCGTGTGAATTTAATCTTCTTATAACTGTGCTTTAGCGTATATCCTGCTCTTGAGACTCTCACTGAACCTCATCGTTTGCTTCAAGCTTTACAAGTACTTGTTGCTGTGGCGCCAGTGCTGGCCAAGGACCAGCCCGATAAAAATGGGAAGACGTTCCGGTATGGTTTTGTTCCAGATCATTTTACGATTTTGTGCGCTATTAGATAGATTTGATATTAAATTCAGTCTGACATTGTACTTCTGAGGGTATCAAATTGTTGTCCAATGTTGGTTATGTTGATTGCATTCAAATTCTGATTTCAACCCAGCTGGCAAAACTTTAACACATTGACGACATTGAGACGCGGTAACGCGTCTCACTTTGCGCACCTCGTTGGACATTGAGACGCGTTACCGCGTCTCACCCTTATCATCCCTTTTTCTAGGGCATGCGCAGCTTTTTCCCGAATTGTTTGTCTCTCTTCTATGGATTAGAACATAACATTATTGTAAACGACATGGGTCATTGTTTGTTCAAATATGCTCCAGTTTAGCAG